TTTTTCGAGAGAGACAGGGTTTCTCTGTGTATCTTTGCGCCTTTCCTGGAACTCACTTGGTAGCCCAGGCTGGCCTCGAACTCACAGAGATCTGCCTGCTTCTGCCTCCCGAGTGCTGGGATTAAAGGCGTGCGCCACCACCGCCCAGCTGACTTACACTTTCTGCAGCAAAATTTCCAATGACGGTCTTGAAGCAATAAAGAAGTCTCACACAAACAAGCATTTGTTGCTCCTTCCCTCTCTAAAACAAGCTATGAGTGCAGAGCAGAAGGCAGCTATGGTATCAAATCCATAGTCAGTTTCTCTGATCTTTCCTGAGGACTAGAAACCTCATAGTCAAGAGCTTCTTGCTGCTTTTCTGGAAACGGGGTTAGACAGTGAACCTACAAGACCATCTAAAATTGTGAGTAATGGAGGAAGTCCCCAGTGAACATGTAAGTGTCAGATGAAGTCCTGAGTGAATGCATGTTGTTGACATGAGCATGGCCATGTCGAGGATGCCAATGCCTCGGATTCATGGGAATGGTAGAGTCATCCCCTGGTCAACATGTAGATGTTGACAGTGTGTACAGAAAATGTCCACTGAAGTTTCTTCCTCCCAGATATTTACACCCTGAGACTGTTCCCCTACAGAGATCCCCTACCTAGAACAGCTCAACTTGAACTAAACTCCTTATTCAGCTGTATACAACAAATCCACCTCTTCAGTGACGTTGACGCAACTCCATCAGAATGCACAGCTTACTTGAGTCTGGCTTTTCTGAATGTGTACAGTCTATCATTTTCTTCACTCCCCATCACCTGAGTTAGGTCAATCCCTAAGCCATGCAAGTTCACAGCATAAAACAGTGCTTCTCAGAAGAACTTCATATTCTAGAGGAATGCCGCTGAATGGCCCTTCTCTATCAGAAGCAAGGCCCCACACACTCTCTAGTTTTCCAGCTCATGACGTTTTTTTATGATGCCCTCCTGCTCCTCTGCACCAGTCAGTTCCACCCACCCATAAAGGAACAGAACAGGACAGAGGCCGCATTTTCTGCCCCTTTTTTGTTCTCACAGCACTGCTCCTGATTAGCAATGTGTATACGCCACCTGGTCCCTACAGTCCTCCAGCTTTCTCCAGACACTTCCACAATGCTTTTATAGCAGAGCAGACCAAACATGCAAACCCCTGTCTAAAAACACAACATCTTTTCTTACAGCCTCCTACCCACTCGGTGATCTCACCTAGGGAGGAGAGTCATCACAAACTCTGCTCCTTCTGTTACAGAATACATGCCTTATAACCAGAGCTAGAACTGATTTAACTTTGTTTTAACTTTGAGATCTTTCATACAGCAGATGCAGCAAAGCATGGAACTGATACTATTTCCATGTGAGGTTCCCCTGTAAATGATTTGACTCTTCACTCATCTCCATCGTAGATCTTTAAAACAAAAACAAAAGAGGCAAGGCTGAGACTTACTGAAAGTAGAAAACATCTCCCTAGCCAAAGGACAGCAAATGGGTTAGTCACGGAGCTGAACTGATGGAGTGCTTGCCTGGTGCTCTGTTGCCAAAGCTGTGCTTCAATCCCCAGTGACCGGACATGGTGACACACGTGTGTGATCCCAACCCTCGGGAGGCAAGAGGATCAGAAAGGTAAGGTCACCTAGGCTACAAATTGAATTCAAGGCCAGTCTGGGATACATGAGACACTGCTTCTTTTTTTTAATGAAAGTGGGTTCACTGATACCTGGCCACTGCATTGCCATTCTTTTATGTTATTCCCTAATTTTTTTTTAAATGAAACAACCGTGTTTATAACAAGAGAAAAAGTGAAAAGTTAAGGAAGCATCTTATGGTTTAAGATAATTTCATTAAACGGTTTTAAAATGAAACTATTTTTGTTTTTTGGAACAGGGTTTCTCTGTATAACAGCTCCGGCTGTCCTGGAACTTGCTTTGTAGCCCAGGCTGGCCTCACAGGCTGGTCACCTGTCTCTGCCTCCCAAGTGCTGGGATTACAGGTGTGTGCCACCACCACCAGGCCAGTTTTTAAAAGAATAGCTAAAAGAAAAGTGTTTAGATGCAAGGAAAACTTAGGTATCCTGAATAACTCATTCCCAGAAAGACTTCTGTGGAAAATGGTTCCAATGCCAAAATGTTCCACGCATTGTAGAGTGATTTACTTACCAACTCTGAACTAATCCAACCGAAGGGCGGTTCAACAAATTATCCGGCAAAAGATTAACTTCTCTCATTGTGTTAGCCAGTCGAACAGGAAGCTCCTTGCGCAGAAACATGTATGAAGTTTTTTCACATGCATTATCTCTACCTATTAAGAGGTGAAAAAATTCCACAAAATTAACATCCAGAGACATAAAATGCTCTCATGTTAACAGAATTACTACTGGTCAGGAAAAGAAAATTAAGTAATATAACAGTATCTAGCTAAATTTTTCTGAAATAGCAAGTTTAAGAAAATCACTTAATTAGAAGAGAAAAGGAACATTTATTCCAAGAGGCAACTTAAAAAATTTTTTTCTTAACACAAATATGTACCTAGTGTTACCGGCCACAATATAAAACTGACCTGGGATATAATTTGAGTGTTTTCAAATACACACTGTGGGGAAATGGCCAAGTACAGAAACAGTCCCACATATAAATGCACTCCTGCTCACAGGGATTTTTGGGGAGGCACCATGAGCCATTCATTCTGTAAATGTTCCTATTGTGTGCCAAACATTTGCAAAGAGTTTGCTTCCAATGTTTCTTTAGGAAACACACAGCTCTGCCACCCTGGAAGCAGAAGCTCTGTGATTCCAAATGAGGGACTCTAAGCCACGCAGTATTATGTCTCAAAAGAAATAGCTTACAATGTCCTCCCAGGTGAATGATCCACTATGACACATCCAAGACAGAAACACCCTATCATACAGGTCAGTGAGGTAAGGCAGGTACAGCGATCGAGTAGCATGTGAACTCCCTCCAGTGTTGACAGCAGACACTGAGACTAGAATGAGAGTTCCTAGGGTTGGGGACAGTAGGGATGGCGTGGGATTTTATCGGGGGCTGCTAAGCTCAAGTGTAATTCGGTACAGTATGTCTAACAACTATGCACCATCCATTTCAAAACATGAGAAGGCTTCTGAAAGTTTGTCAGGAGAAAGGAGCAAATGTTGAAGGAGACAAATATGTTTAACCTGATGTCAACATTATATGCTACTCCATTAATATGATTAATAGAAACAGATTACTACATATCAGATAAAAATAAAAAAGTAACAGAAAAGACATGGTCAGGGAATCTTCTGGAGCTGGTTGTGCATTCCTATAAACAGGGTAGGGTGAGAGAAAAGGCACCTGGCCACCTACAAGAGGAAACCTGGGCCCTCTTCCCAACTGTCCTGTAGCCCCAGCAGTTCCCTAACCCTGCTACAAACGTATGGCTGGGGACAGATGTGAAATAAAGGATGTAAGTTTGGGGAACACGAATACCCTCTGGCCCCAGCTGTGAAACATTTGCTAAGCTTTGCCATGTTTCTGAACTTTAGCTGCCCGAATCTGTAAGGCAGGGGGCAGACTTTGAACATGTAACAACACATGACCCTGGCCCTCCACTCTGTGATACTTAGGAGTCTATCCCCTCTCCCTGCTAATGCTAGGGCCTCCTTGATGCTCCACACTCCCTGGAAGCTGTTCTGGAATGAGCCAAGACCAGCCCCCTCCAAACTCTATTTTTTCCTACATAAAAAAGGCAGCATCTGAGGGATTCACACACAATATTTTCTTTTCTTTTCTCTGTTTTTTCAAGACAGGGTTTCTCTGTGTAGCTCTGGCTGTCCTGGAACTCACTCTGTAGACCAGGCTGGCCTTGAACTCACCGAGATCTGCCTGCCTCTGCCTCCCCAGTGCTGGGATTGAACCACCACTGCCCAGCCACACAATATTTTCCAATGCTTTCACTCACTTTCTGTTTTTTCCCTTTCCTTTCTAGAAAAGAAAACTTGAAACAAAAGTACCCTTTATTGAAAGTCATCTGTGATGGATCTTTTCTTTCTCATCAACCTGGATGCCATTTCCATATTCAAACAAGTGAGAATCAAGATTGGTCTTAAATCATTTCCTTCATTCTAAGCGAGTATACTGAAGGTAAACCTTTAATGGATGATTCTTTCACTTGCCCCTTAGTGCTCTGATGCATATATTAGTCCTTAAATATCCATCCCACGTAAAAGGGGAAGGGATGCAATACTCCAGAAATAAGCATCCAACAACTACTTTCTAGAGGAGATTCTTGTAGTTTTGCTTCAAATAGACATTATTCCTATTGATCCATATAATTTAATTTTAAATGCACTAAAATGCTGGTATTGCCATAGTTAATCTCATTGTAGCTACTATCTAAGTTAAACTATAAATCTGGATTTTTACAGGCCAGATGAAATTCTTCTTTCGTAAGTTTTGAACCTCATGATTCAGCTAAAACTGCATGGCTCTACAGAACAGCAGTAATAAGATCTGGTACTGGAGCTAGATTTGGGTCTGAATCTTAAGCACTCAGAGACTTTTCTACCCCTCTATATCTCATTTTAACCACCCATAAATAATAGCACCTTCTTCACAGAGGTTTAGTGTTCACCACTGAACACTGACATATTCCTTACTCTTAGAAGTAGAGTTCATTAAATAGCAACCAGTAATGCTTGGTGATGATCAAGCCATGGCCAGCAACATCAAACTGTCTGCTATATGCACCGTCAGTTCTCAGAGCATGACTGTATTCTAGACTGGTGAGACCCTCAGCCTATCTGACAACTCTACATCACTTTAAAAACCATTCCATTCAGTGTTCCTACCATTTACTATTTTAATATCCAAGTCCTACATGGAATACCAGTTAAATCAGTACTCTCTAGAAAACTCAACCTTTAGGCACGATCTAAGAGAATCTGTTTCAGACAGTACTTGACTGGTGGAACTGGACTATCAGACTGTTACAAACCCGTGGAGATAAATAAAGTCTTGATATCCCCAGATCACCTATCACAGCACCTTGCCCATTATAGCTTCTCAATGACGTTTTGGAAGATGTGATCGTGCTTTGAAAGGTTTGTATTTTTAAATGCAGAATAGCTTAAAAATCCCAAGTTTTTCCTCCTACATTCTAATTTAGCTTCAAGAACAAATTCTTTGTACTTAGCTACTTTAATTATACATCAGCTTAAACAGAAGCATAAATCTTTTTAGTTAGTTCACTAATTAGTGAGCCTAAAAATAAATGCCTGATTTTTACAACTTTTCTGTGGCTTTCCTCATATACATTAAAGGTTTCTTATCCTAGATGTTGAATACTTAGCTTAACTCAAGGAGTTCTCGCAACCATTTTTATAATAAACATATCAAAAAAACCTCGGTTTTTAATAACTGTCCTCTCAAAAGGGTTGTTTGTACTTGTTATTTCCAGCTATTCGTTCCCATTATCTGACCACATTCCTCCCTCTCCCACTTACTTGGCTTCTCTACATTCCTTGATTTTTATTTTCTAGTTTTAGTCTACATTTCTCTATATGCTTCCTCTCATTTGCTATTACCAGTTAACATCTATTTAGAAGATGACAAAGAGGAAGCAGTGAGGAGCTTGGAAAATTCTGACTCAGCAAGTTTAAGTAAGTCACTAGCTGTAATACATTCCCAGGGGTGTTTCCCCCTGGTTTCAGGATCCTTGGATTCTCTTGTTTCTGTCTGCTTTCAGCCCCGGGGATTAAAAGCTAGGGTTCTGCATGCACTCTCTCACTCAGCTCTAGCCTGGCTCTTTGTGTTTTATATTCTGTCCTTCCACGGCAAAGCTGGAGAGAACTATTCATGTGCAGAGCCCTATGGTTTGCGTGGTTCCTTCTGTACAGCTCTATAGTCACGAAGACCTGAGAAGACGAGGCACAGAAATTACAATGCCTTTCAGTTTCCTGTGGGGAGTCCTCCTTGTGGAGGACTCAAGAGGTAACCAGAAGTATCTGTCTAGCTACCTGAGAGCAGGAGTTCACAGACAAGATTTTTCCATGGTGGATGATGCCTTTAACTCTCTTTTCAATTAATTTACAGGAGATAGAAAATGATTATTGTTTCTGTTAATGAAGTGGTATAATAAAAGAGGGTTGAGGACATCTTCCATGACCTGTCTCACCACGAACAGCAATCAGTGCCCTCTAAAATACAGTTTCCTGTGTGGATTACTTGAAAGCTATCTCCAGCCAGCTTTCAGCCATAACACTTGGTGTGGCTGATTAGAAAAGAGCAGGCGTGGGGAAGTGAGTGGAAAGGGAGAACGATAAAAGGGAAAAGGAGCAGCGAGGCCTGAAAATCCAACGAAATGATCCTGCTCGTCTAGATAGCTTGCTTTTTTAATAACACTGTCAAGTACATGCTGGAGTTTGGAATGTGTTTTTCCCGTTAATCATGTTAAATTGAATACATTTGAGCAGAACATAATTTAGGGTAGCTCTCTGACTTCTTTTCTCTAGCTGCATTTGTAAGACTTTAATCTAAACTGGAACATAGTAACACACTCTTGCAATCCAAGCAATGGGGAGGCAGGGGCACCCGAAGTTGGCTTCCGGCCTTCTGGTCTCCACACCCATGGACACACATGCACACACAAATACAGAACTATCAGATGACTTCATAACCACACTTCTGAGTAATACAGTGACAATAAGGCAACATGGTGCATCAGAACAGAGAGCAAGAAGTACAGATGTATACAGAACTTAACAGAGCTGTGATGCGCTGCATGCTAGTGATCCTCAACCTTCTTAACATTGTGACTCTAATGCAGTTCTTCATGGTGTGGTGACCCCCAACCATAAAATTATTTCACTGCTACTTCATAACTGTAATTCTGCTACTGTTATGAATTGTAATGTAAATATCTGTGTTTTCTGATGGACATAGGTGACCCCTGTAAAAGGGTTGTTGGACCCCCTCAAAGGGATAGTGACCCACGAGTTGAGACACATTGAGCTAGAGTCACGTAACAATCATTAGGCAGCCAATGCCACCACAAACCCATATCAATATAATTCTGGAAGACTATAGATCTAGAGTCCTAACAATAAATTGGTGAGTACCGGATGCCTTGTTGAGCACAGGCAAAAAATTGTGAGTATAGGAGGCAGGAATAGTTAGGTAAAGGCCACATGATACCCATTTCTGAGGTTCACTGAGGCAAAATGTTTAGTGAATGACCACAGTGAATAAAGGGAGTTCAAAGCCAGTCATAATTGATAGCACAAATAACCTTAACGTGCTACTTCTGTTGCTTGGGAAATGATC